TTTCATATGTATATGAGATTTATTACATGTCAAATTGATGTTAGTTATCAGACAATACGACGATCGGAGAGCATTGAAGCAGAGTATAAGTTATGAATCATTAATTGATTACTATTCTCAATTGTAAAATTTTAAAGAAATCGTAATAATCGTCTATTTGGCTCACTTCATTATGATATCATCTCTCATCATTAATCGAACTAATGAATTACGATGAAATCGTCAATTTTTACCATATGTAAAAAAATATTTGGTATTGTAGTTAGTCTAGTTTTCGTTGCATATTTGATTTAGTTTGATATCACGAAGACAAAAGGCTTATAAAAGAACAAATAATCTATATCTATTATGGAGAAAAAAAATTAGAAATGATGTTCACGGATAATATATGAGTTTTTCTGCTCGATGAAATAATTATATTCGTCAGTATCAGTTTTATCTTGTTCAATTTTGTTATTATCCATGGTTTAATTCTAAATATCCGCAACAGATCTACTAACGTCATTTATAGCCCATGGAAAATCATCATTAGCATCAACAAAAACATCTTTAAATAAAAATTGATGAAAACGTTGTTCATATTCATTTGGTGGAATAAGAGAATATTCAAGATGTTTATCAGGATCTGTAAGTTTTCGAAATGTTTGATCAAGCATTCTAAGAGTATCATATGTTTGAAGGATATCAATCAAAGCTAAATAAATATAAACACGTTTATTAGTTCCATTTATAATACCCGGAATGGGTAAAGTTGCATAAGCAACAGAATCATCATTATAATATAAATTCATATTAATTTTTTCTTGGAGAATTTCTAATGGTTTTAAATATGAATACGGTAAAGAATTTATATCAAATTCAAGAATTGATGATGAAGCAGAAGGAGTTGGCTTTTCTGTTTGGTTTGGTGCAAGACTATTAGCTGCACGAAGAAGAGCTGTAACTCCTGTTTTCTTTTGTCGTTCCAACATTTGTGATTGAGACATATCTAAATGTCTAATTCCAAGTAATAATGAAAAATCCATAATATTAAGTTTTTTTAAAGCTTTTGCATCATTGGCAATAATAATTTTTAATTTTTGATAAATATTTGTTGGTATACGTATACCATCTGGATATAATTCTGTAAAATTCATATCTTTTAATTTGTGAAATTTTTCCGTTGATAAATATCCAGTTGTTTTTCGTCTTATTTTTGAACCTTTCAAATCGAATATTTCATTAATTTTTAATGATGGTGTAAATGCATTAACCGTAATGGCAACATAAATTATAATATTTGGTGATGATGATGTTTGTATACGCAATGAATATAATCCAACATAACGATTAAGTATTGTTAAATGTTGTCGAAATCGTAAATGATAACCAGATAAAATTTGCAATAATAATCGTGCTTCATAATCAAGTAAAGTTTTTAGAATGAATAATTGATCATGTGTCTTATACATTAATGAACCACTTCTACCCGTATTTGTGAAATCTTTTAAATTATATTCAGAAAATGACTGACGAAATTTTTCATTGGATATACCAATATCTTCACGTAATTGATGAAAAATAGTTGGAGCTAATGAACTTATTTCAATATTTATTTTATCATCATTATTAATTAATTCAGCAAATTGAATATTATCTTCTTTGACATCTAATGTATATTGACATGAATGATATAAATTATGTTCATTACCAAAAGTAGTTGCATCATCTTCTTTATATTCATTAAATCTTTTCGTTAGATAATCCAGTAAATCAACAATACCATGACATAATGTTGGTCCAATAACTGAAGTTTTTGAACTAACATAGCATAATGTTATTGGAGCTTGCACAAAAGACGCAGCATGAAAATCTAATAGATCCAATACATCAATATTTAATAAGCCTTCACTTATTTTGTTACTACTAGTCATCATGTTTCTCTTTTTTTTATGCTGATCGTGAGAATGAGGGAATGAGTGTCACGTTTCAATGAATCAAGTAAAGCGAAGGATAATGGCCATGATAAAAAAAAAGCATGTCAATATAATCGGTTTTTGACTACAGTAGGCATATTATTGTGTTATTGATTTTGTTAAAATCTTTTATTGCTTTCTTTTTCACAAGTTCTGTAAACAAAAAAAGGGACAGATAGAAGTCAAGCCTAAATTTATCTTTTTCTGTGCAAAAAGAATCCGTATAAGGAATGATATAATGATTCTTCAATCAAGTTTTCAAATATTTTGACAAGAAGAAAATATTATATGCAGCATTGTGAATAGCGCTTGTTGGATTTTCACGATACTTGATTCATTTTTCATCATTATAAATTACGTTTTTTATTTTTCATAATATCTCGCATTTAACGCTCTAATAAGTAACACGTTTTTGAAGGTTAGATTGGTGAATAGATACTATTTTAGATAAAGAAAAATAAAGATTTATTTAGTTAGTTGAATATTCGTGCGAGCAATTAACTTTTCATAGAAGGGTGAATCAGCGGGTATGGGTGTGGGTGTAAGTGTGAGTATTATCTTTGATACACCCACACCCACACTTCTCTTAATAAATCCGCTGTTATCTATATGTCAAATAAATAAGCTGTTTAGATTAAGAAAACTCATTTCACATATTTTTCGATAAATGTTTTTTTATTAATTTTTGGCTACAAAGCCAATTCAATGATTAGTTGATATTATTAAAGTATTTCATAGTCCGCAGTGTCCAGTAGAAAAGATTAAAGTATGCACATAAAAGAACAACAGAATCAATACAAGAGAAGTGATTAACTAGACAAATCCGTACCCTAAGTTTGAGGCTAAAACTACTACATTTCAAATTTATTCATATTCAAAAATGTAATACATAGAACAAAGGAAGCAAAAACAAAATAATGATTATTTAAGTGATAGTCATATCTTGAAGGACTTAAACAAATATACAAGATTAACTATAACGATGATGATTATCATTATTAGTTAGATGTTCATCCAAATTTTCTTCAGTATTATAAGACGAAATGGCAAGGAATTGTTTCATTCCAATATAATCAAGTATTTGATTTTCAAGATCGTCATAACTATCATTTTCATCGGAATTAATGTAATCTGTTAGATAATCTACACCTGATTCTTTATCAGAATCATAATTAAAATGATAATGCTGATTCATATTAGTATATTTATGAATATGTATAAAAATTTGAACTAAATTTATAAATATTTGTAATTAAACGATTACGAATAATATCATCAATATTTAAATGATGAATTCAATTAGTTAAAACTTCAATAAATTTTGTTTCAATTGAATTACGATTGTTCAGAAGAAACATAAGATGTTCGTACGTTAAATCTTTACCAAAAAACATTTGATGCTTCAAATCGTTCAAAATTTTATTATATTCGACTTGAAGGCTTGGATTAATATTATCAACATTAATGCAGTCTAACGAACTGAACATATCCGACATTGACTTAGTTAGAGACATAACGTAAACAAATATATTTTGTAAATGAAACAAGAATAAATCAAGATTTATCATGTTGACCTTTTTTTCTTTTTCATTCTGTCTATTAGGGTTTTCTGTCTGGCTAAATTCGAACTGATCTAGGTTTAATTTTTTTTCGGCTCTCTCGGTAACGGTTTTCCGTCTGAGAAAATTTATATTAATTCAAATTAATTTATTTTTTCTTTTTCGCTCTACCCATAACGGTTTTCCCTCTAATATATATTGTATTCTTCCATTTTTGTCTCCAAAAAATCGTAAAATCTTCCACATTATCTCACTATCTAAATATAAGCCGTAATGTCTTTGAGGGTGTGGGTGGAGTGGGTGATGTGGGTGTGGGTGGGGTGTTGGAGTGTGGGTATGTGGGTGTGGGTGTGGGTATGGGTGTGGATGTGGGTGTGGGTGTGGGGTGTGGGTGTGGGTGTGGGTGTGGGTGTAGGTGTGGATGTGAGTGTGAATGGAATATATATATAAGTACAACCACACCCACACCCCATACCCTTCTCTGGAGAACTTTGATTTTGTAGGGGAGAAAAGAGTATAAAATGAAGTAAATAAGCGTATAAGACAAAAGTAATGAAATGGCAAAATTCTTGAATTCTGCTTGTGGCCAATCCTGCTGCTGCTGACAAAACGACGATGATAGTTTTATGTGAAAAAAAACATGTGTCTGATTAATATATCATAATGAATGATAGAACAAGCATAATAGGAGTTCTATGTAAAAAACGACGCATCTCATTAATGTTTGGTCGTTAGTTATTTCACGGACACGAATGAAAATACACAAGCGAAACTTATACTAGTGATGTACATATAAGCGACGTTTTTTTTTATATTTCTAGTATACAATAACGTCGGTATATTAGTGTTATTCTGGTCGGCAGCACACAAGATTTTGTATAATACAGAGAGCAAACGTAAGTGTTTTGAAATTGCATTTTCTGTAGAGAGCATCTTTTTATCATCAATATTAAGTGAATTTTTCTATTCTAAAATAGTATCACTAAGCTTATATTATACTTTTTTTTTCGTATGATACTCATAATTTTCCTGCTGGCAAAAATGTTCCGAAATTCTGTGTGAAATGAATTGTACATGCTAACTACTGTAAAGCCACGTTTTTCACAGAGCATCTGCTGCAAGAGTAGTTAATCAGCTTTGTGAGGCTCCATGTAGAAAAAAGACCGTTCAACGTTATGTTCTTTTATCATTTGAAGAGATTTGACCTTGCTGAAAATTAGATATGATATTGTAAAGATGAAAAGTGTGTCAGGAAATTCTCGTAGAGGAATGTATCTTCAACAGGATTTTGGCGAAGAATTCGCTTATATTATTCTCTTTAGAGTCAATAGTTCTAATTATATAACAGCAGTTTTTATGATATGAACAAAACTCGCGTCAGTAGGTTTTGGAAAAGTGGTGGGTATGGGTGTGGGTGCGGTGAGTGTGGGTGTGGGGTGTGGGTGTGGGGTGTGGGTGTGGTGGTGGGTGTTGACCTTCTCCGTATCCACCACCACACCCACACCCACACCCTTGATATAATAACTCATGTATTTTTCCAACTAAGTTATGTTATCTATTGGTATATTCCCTTAATATCTGTTACATATACACCTTTTGTTTCTAAAGTGTGGGGGTAGAGTGAAACATCAGGAGACATAAAGAGATTAAAATCTAATCTAACCGTTCTGATTATCATCATAACTAAGACATATACACAACTACGTAATATAGGACATAGCACTGTTGTTGGTCAATTTATAAGATAATCAAGTCGGGAAAAACGCTCGAGTAAACAAAGAGATAAGGACGAGTATTTAAGCCAGCAGCAAAAGCACATGTTTACTCATTTTATTTAGATTATGGCTTCGAACATGAATGAATCATTTGCGACAACTACTACTGCTCGAACAGAACCAACAATGGTATCGCACAACAAAGTCAAAAGTCTAGATAAAACAAGGCTGCACTTATTGGAAGCTTTAAATGGCCTTGTTAATCTCGTCACTACTATGAGTAGCAAATTGGGCGAAACTCAACATGAAGAGATTCCCGATAACACACAAGGTATTATCATAGATTTTAAGCACAGCTATTCAAATGTTAAGCATCTTGAGCTGCGTATGTATATAGCTGCACCAATGAAAGCAGGAAAATCAACGATCATCAATGCCATTTTGGGTCACAATATTCTTTCCACACGCAATACCGCCATGACTGTCATTCCAGTTGAAGTGATGCTTCGAGTTACAGAACCAAACGATAAAGAAGAAGAGCCATCTCTCGTCATGGATAGGAAATTGATCGAACAAATTATGACAATGCAGCAAGAAGTTCGATCTCACCTCTTGACTAGTCCAACTTCGGAAGATTTGAAGACAAAACTTGCTAACCATATCCATTTGACTTCCCTTGCAGAAAAAAATCGAAATACCGTTGGTAATGGTGGTAAATTAGAAGAAAAGACAATTGGCACTGAGCATATTCGGACCACGCTCCAGTATATTAATGATGTCATCCGTCTTCACGAAACTCTGATGCCAACAGATATCTCCGCTCCATCGCGTCAATTTTTCCATAGCTTACCTCGTATTCTTGCATCGTACATTAGTCTTGACGAAGAAAGTATGCTACACAAATCATTGGGGAATTTAATCATCCTCGACACACCTGGACCGAACGAAGATACCACTACTAATTTTCTAAAAGAAATTGTAGTACGAGAATTGAAAAAAGCCGCAGTGATTCTTGTCGTTCTAGATTACACTGTGCTCCATTCTCAAGCAGACAAAATAATTCAAACTGAAATAATGAACATTCGGCAGGTAACTTCTAAAAACGGCGAGTCACTTTTGGCGCTAGTAAACAAAGTTGATCAACGACAACAGGGAGATATGAGTCGAGAAGCTGTGCAGAATTTTGTACGGAACAAATTCCACATAGGCCAAGTTAGTACAGACTTTCAAACGGCCAATCGAGTATTCGAAATTCAAGCGCGTCGAGCTTTATTAGCTAAACAGTTCTCAATGGGAGTCAGACACAAAGATAAAAACCATCAATTCAACATCAAAGATTTATAATCCGGTCCGGATTTTCTAAAGGAAGCATATGGGGCTGCATATGATGATGATGATGATCCACCGACTATCGACAAAGCCACAATGGATGCAAGAAAACTGTGGAAAAAATCGGGCTTCGAAGCATTCCTCAAGGGTTCAATTGAGGAACTCATTGAAAGATCCGCTCCGCGGGTCATCGAAACAGCCTTGAATCACTGTCACAGTAGTCTACACCGCTTGCATGACGACTTAACTATCCAAGAAAACCTTCTGTGTGCTGACCAGGAAGAGTTGAAAAGGCAAAGGGATGCACTTTTTACTGACATGCAGAAGCTTCAAAATGCCACGGAGAAGCAAAAGACGGTTTTGGAAGATGAAAAAAAACAATTGGCTTCTCGTTTTCATACCCAAATCAGTCAAATGAAAGAACATGCTCTCAAACAACTGACAAGAATGTTGGATGAACACTTTCGACCTGACGGACTCCATCAAACTGAATTAGAAGACATGAATTCAAGAACAATAATGACTGATGAATCCTCGACGGTACTTAAACCATCGCTATTTGACAATTTAATATGGAGAATAGCAACGGCCCTAGCCAATGAGGCCAATTCTGATGTAACTGTAAGTTTTGACAACGAATCCGATGGTCGCAAATACATACGGAACATCCAGCGACAAGTTCGTACCATAGCTGAAGAGGTCTTACTTATGATTCGAAATGACGTGGATGCAGAGTGTGATTCAGCTTGTGGTCGACTTAATCAACATCTTTAACAAAATACAAAACAGATTTTGACTGATGCTCAAAATCGGCTATCAGACGCCTTTGGTATCCAGTTTCGCAAGCCGCCTACCTTTGACCCCGTCTGCTCAACTTTGACCGACTTCAAGTTAAAATTTCAAAAATTTTATCTGCCTTGGTGGCTCTTGGGGCTGGTTTCTATTCCATGCAATGAGGATGATAGAGAAGGCGCGACGTACCAAATAAGAATAAGCAAATTGAAGACTCACTGTACTGATCTATTGCAAGCTTATATGGATGCGATCGAAACAGAACTGAATAAGTATTTGAAAGAGGTATTAGATCGCAGTTTCTCTAGGCATTTTGATAAGCTCAATTATTGTTTGGAACGCTATCGAGACCATGTTAATAAGTCGCTAAATGATCGGACTCGAACCCTTGACGAAAAGAGTACGTTTAAAGAATCATTGGAAGAAATGGTGAAGGAAATCAACGACAAAATCGAAGTGAGGAAAAACATTCACGAATCTTTCGAATCAGTTGTGAATTCAACGTCAGTCGATGCTGAATAAGACCCATATTTGTTTCCATACTTCTTAGCTCTAAACTAAAAAGAGCTCGAGGTAAAATCTCAACATAACCATGAATAAATTGTACGAGAACATTGCTTATCAGCGGGTGTGGGTGTACATGTACTTTCCCTGGTAGTCGACACCCACACCCACACCCAAAATCAATTGAACACAAATGGGGGCGACTATATTATTATGATAAACAACATCATCATGACTTTGACGTAGGTGACGTGTCTTTTTCTCACTGTTTCTAATTTTTTTTTTGCCTTATCTTTTTTTCAAACCGATAGTAAAAGTTGATAAGAACGGTTTTATTCGAATTTTATTTTTAGTGTTGCTCTTTCTCCGTGTAGACACTAGATAGATGACAAGACTCAAACAGGTAAAGCGTTACTCCACACAGAAAAACAATAAAAAATTCTCCTTTTTTTCGATCGAAAGAAAGATAAAATAAAATTAGAGAAACGATTCTTCATTGTATTTACTGCATCACATTTTGCTGAAACGTTTCTCGTAAAGAAAAGAAAAAAAATCAAGAAATATCTATAGGCCTACCTCTGTTTGCTGCTTCACAACGTTGTAAAAAGGGTGCATACTCACTAGGCAGTACCCTATATCGCAAAAACCGGATCATTTTTAGCAGTAAACCGCTATTAATTGAAGCAGTGGGAGCCGGTAACCGAACCGGTAAAACCGCCGGTTTTCTCCCGATTTTTATCACGTGAGATGCTTTCTTATTTAATAAAATGGCTACTTCATCCTCAGTACGATCATCTGCGTCGAGCAAAAACAAGAAAATAATTTGGTTTTGGCAGTCGAATCTGAAACCATGGGATGAAAACGTATAAAAGGAATGGAAACGATGTTCAGATTTTGAAAACGATTACGTTGAGAAGGCATTCCAACGAAATGAAAAGGAAGTGCAGTTGAATAATTATGTCATCAGTTTTCAACAAAACATTCAATGCGCGCTAGACGATAGATATCGACAGATACCAGCTAAACGTCAACTAGTTGATCTCGGTCAATACGTGAGAGAAGAAAGATTTTCATTTCCAGAGAGAGCACTAAAGTCATTTGACAAGAAGTACAACGATGAAGTTTGTTTCACCAACCAATGGTATCGTAAAAATGAAGAAATAAAGAACCATTGGATAGTTGTTGCTGAACTTGCTGCTCAAGGTGAGTTTTGCTTATCATTCTCAACAGTGTTAAAGTGCAAAATTTGTCGTTTTCACTTCAGGTATCTTAAAAGAGGGTAAAATGCTTAATCAAGGATTCGATGCACAACGGATGGCTGATCAGTTAAGAAATGCTAAGAATCAAGAAGAAATTTTGGCATGTGCTGCTCGTCTCTACTCAGCTGATTCCTGTCTTTACAAACTGATTAATACAACATTGAGAAACCATGACATGAGTAAACTTGACACTCTTGGCCCATTGGTTTGGTTATTCAATAATCAGCTTTCTGCTTATCAGGAGTATCAAGACCAACTTGTTTATCGTGGCGCTACTCTCAACGATGAAATGATTAATGAATATAAACAAGCCGTTGGATCGACGATTTGCTGGCCAGCCTTCGCTTCGACGTCGAGAAGTCTTCAGATAGCTGAACAGTTTGGAAATACACTTTTTATTATTACCACGAAGCAAACATGGGATTTTATAAGTGACATTTCTTCTCTTTCACACTACCCCAACGAACAAGAAGTACTACTAAGTGAAGCACACACGTTTGGAGTTGATAAAACTGAACGCGATACTACAAGTGGGATATTTCTTATTTATTTGAAAGCCAACTGGGGAGGATGATGTGTTACTCTCACAAGTAGAATGAACTTTAATTTTTACAAAAGAGTGCGTTTCCCTTTGACGTTAATTGAATATGTATAGAAATCGAAATCCTGTCCTAACAAATTACGATATGCTTACCTATATTTATGAACTACTTTTTTCCCAATGATACCAAATATTAGGGGTGTCTATTTATATTTACGTTTCATTTGGTAAACGAGTAAATTAAATAGCCAGTAATTTATATTTAAAAATAAACATAACTAATCATTATTTTGTGAAACACGATCTGAAAGGAGTGTTGAAGTGTTTAGGGGCAGAAATTTGCACCTCACCCCCCCCCCCACAGACCGTGACAGAGAAATTCCATACCCATCACAGACCGTGACAGAGAAACCCTACTACCCATCATAGATCGTGACAGAGAACCGCCGGACCCATCACAGATCGTGACAGACAGGGTCTTGAACCATCATAGACCGTGATAGACAAATTGTAGTTGGAANCTCGAAAGAAGCAACATGGGCCTAAATCCTCTTAGGCTTTTTCTTAGCATACTGACCCCTACATATGGGCAAAATATAAGCAAAATCGGCGTGAATCACTTGAAACGGTTCCCTCGTAAGTTTTTGATTGTTTAAATTCTTTCTGAAAAATACTGACACATATTTTGTTTAATAGAGGAGTATGTTACAGTGTGATGTCGCATGTAGACATGTTCGCTATACATCTGCTATCCTCTATCTTTTTTTCCTCTATCAATTGGCCTCTCTTTCTTTTCGTTCTCTCTGTCTATACATCTATAACAGCGCATGTGTAGCATTAGTTTTTGTTCATTCCTTCTGAAGTAAAGATCATGTGCAAGTACATACTACATACATACATATATATATATAATATATACAAGAGAGAAGAAAAGGAGAAACTATAATACCGGTGAAGCGAAGTAGAAGTCATAAAGAAAAAAGAGAACGAGTAAGAGCGACACAAGGCTACGGCGTGTTTTGTTTTGTATCGAATGCTGCATTTGAAGGGAGCAGAGAAAGGTAATGGACGCACACTTTTTTTTCTTCATTCTTTTGCATAGCAACTTCAAGTATGCACATGGCGCACTTGAATAACTGTTTTCATTTGCGCAGAAAATAAATGCAATATATGTGTATGAAAAGTTACGTCTTTTTTGACTGTCGGCCGTTGAATTTTGCTAATTTCAATATGAAACAAGAAATAACATCGATGAAAAGGTGAATCAGCAAGTACTGATTGCTAAAGCAAGTTTTTAAGACATTTTTCACTGTAAAAAAAACAAAGCGTAGAACAAGATACTCTACAAAATGGTTTATTATTTTTACAATTGTGAAAGAAATGATGAAATTTGTATTGTATCCTAAAAGAGTTTATGAGGCTAAAAAACCTTTTTTGTAGAATTTTGTTATACTACGCTTTTTTATAGTGTTATGCAAAGTAACAAACAAGAATACTTATGTATACTATGGACTTCAGACTTTGAAATCTTTCACCTAGACTAAAGAACGGCGAATAGACGCCAAATACTCGATGTTTTGTGTTTATACACCCTCATCAATTTACCTACACACCTACCCTCATATATATATATATATATATTCTTATCATAGAAGTCAATATTAACCTTATGTGCCTTTCATTCTAGATAATCTAATGATATTCATTAACATATTGAATATTACTTTTTCTTATCAATCCTCCAAGCAAAATCCCCTATGCATCATCGATTATTATTTTGCCAATATATGAAGCAATATTATCTAATCTTCTAGTCAAATTTTATATTGTTTTGTTTTGAAAAAAAATTTTCATTATCGATAGAAATCTGTCAGATGCTTTGGATTCTTTCAATTCATATCTTTGAAATTAAATATTTTTTTCTACTTTTTTCAATGAACAATAATTTTTAGTATATATCGAAAGTTCTTTCAAAAATGACCATAATTTGAACATTTGAAGAATGTTGATGAGAAAGAAATATAAGAACAATTGTTATCAAAAATAAAAGATTATAGAAAAGCTTTTAAAATGAAGAAATTGATAATAATTATTAATCGTTTTTTATTGTTGTTGTTATTCTTCAGATAATGCATATTTATGATGAATTTAAATCAACATTTATTATTATCTTTTTTCTTAGTTATATATTTTTGGTTAGTGGATTAATTATTAATTTTCTTCAATTATGTTCCTGTATCATATGGCCATTTAATAAGGAACTTTTTCGAAAAATCAATTGCTATTTAGCATTAGGCATTTGGAGTCGTGAGTATTGTTTTTATTATTATTTCAAAAGTTTCAAATTGACAGAATATGTTTTGATTAGTTGAAAGAGAAGATATTAGCTGCGCTGCATCTATTGATAATAATAGCTATTTCATAAGATTAGTTTAGCTTAAAAACTCTCTCTCTTGATTCATTTTATATTAATCTAAAGTCATTTTACTAGGTTTAAACCTTCTGAAAAATGCTCATAGATTTTGAAGCTATCTTTGAATTTAGAATCTACTGAATAATTATTTATTTTATAGAACTTACTTTTTTGGGTCAATGGTGGTCAAATAGTGACCTTGTTTTGTATATAAATCCAGATGATCTTAACAAAATTGCTAAAGAAAATATGCTTGCCATGTAAATCTATCTATATTTTCGTTTAATAGATACATAAGAAAAAAGATCTATTGAAAAATTTAGAATGAATCATAAATATGACATTGATTGGCTTGCTGCATGGATAGCTTGTCAACGTTTGAATATTTTAAAGGTAAATTGAAATTATTTCATATTAAATTTTAAATATTATGTTGTTTAGGGTTCAAAAATAGTTGCTAAACAACCTCTTAAATTTGTACCAATACTTGGTTGGTGTTGGGTTTGTACTGAAACAATATTTGTACGACGTGTATGGGAAAGTGATCGTGAAACACTTGTAAAAGATCTACAAAAAACACTTGCTAATTATCCACAAAATTATTTTTTTAATGTAAAATTATTATAATCTAACAGAAAAAATAATAATAATATTTTGTTTTATCTTGTGAATTTAGCTTATGCTTTCATGTGAAGGTACTCGATTTACTGAAAAAAAACGATTGATCAGTATGAAAGTTGCACGAGAAAAAGGCTTACCTGAACTTAAACATCATATTCTACCACGTACAAAAGGTTTTACATTATTAATACAAGGAGCAGAAAATCGAAGTAAGTATTTCGAATAGAGACATAAAACAGACTTTTTTTTTAGAACAATGAAAAAGTTAGTGTTTTTTTTTTTTTAGAATTATAAATAAATAAATGCGAAAACCTCGGATTTAAATCCGAGTGTTATGTGTACTGCGAAAAGTGAAGAGATATATTCACTATTTTCTATCAACTGAGCCATATTTAGCCTATTTGCTTTTTGCATGCAGTTTTTCTGCATTTTGAGACATTTTTCATGGGATGTTTTGTTAGAAAGCTACGATTTGGTTCAAAACTAATATCAGATNCAAAACAAAACTTTTTATCTTGATCCCTCGGATAAATTATTTCGAGGGATCGAAAACTTTGTGATTTCCTTACCCATCGCGGAGCCCTCGACCCATCGGAAAGTGAGAATCCGAACAGTACATTTTGTATTTCGATAAGTGCGAAAGTCTAAAATCGACGCCTTGAAATGCCCATCGATTGTCTGCTTGGGTCATCAGTTTATAATGGGAGGTCGTACAAAATATGATAACTTCTCATTTTAGTCAGAATTTTGTATTGTTGAAGTTGATATACTTAAAAATCAGCTTTCATACAGTCTTATAGAACTTAAAAACTACTTTTGGTAGTTTTCCGAAAATCTTCCTCTCATAGTCGATCTATGTTGGTACCGTCGAAAAAAATAAAACATTTAGTTATCATTGTCAAAATTTGATGAAATGATTATTTTTTATACTTTCAGTTCTTATTCTGATAATTTCACTCATCGGGTTTTTTGACTTTAGAAGCAAGTCGCTTTTTATTCAAACTGTTGAGGAAACCTCGTAAAGTGATAATTAACTTTTTTTGAAGTGAGACGTTGCGTATTATTTATGTCTGATTGAAACTTGAAAACTTTTACAATAAACAACTCGTACCTATGGGTCTTCTTTCTTGACTTCAACCCATTTTATTGTGTTTTTGATCTATCGCAGAGCATAGGAGACGAAATCAAAAGATGACATTTGAACACTAGATAATACAACTTCTTTAAAGAATATATATTTTAATTGAAGCACCGCAAAAAAAATCAAATTTTTCGAAAGATCCCATAAATTCAATTCACAATATTATCTTTCAATTTCGCCTCCTATGCTCTATCATATGTCAAAAAAACATAGTCAAATGGCTTGAATTTTACTTCAAAAATAATTTATCACTATATATGAAACTTAGCTGTTTATTCATTTGTTTGTTTTTTACTTAGGTTCATTCTTTCGTATTAGAAAAACAATAAAAACATAAATATTTTAAAAGTTGATAAAACAAGAAACCGACAACATAATTTACAAATCTTTACACTTATTTTCTATTTGGTCATGTCTCATATAAAAGTTTAATTTTTATTTACTTGTTGTACATCTTCTTGTGCTTGAGAAAAATTTTCTAAAATAACTGCAATATACATATTAACCTAAACGAATAACAATAGAATAGAACAAACTAAAAAATTAAATATTCTTAAATTCATACCACAACAAGTGAACTTATAATTAAATAACTAACAAGAAATGGAATTGCAATAGCCATACTACCACAATCACCTCTATGTGATGGTAATTTAAGAGTTGGATCACAATCAGGTGGTCGATCATTTGTTAATGCTTGTAAAACACCTGACCAACCAGCCGTTGTACACATTTGAAAAAGTATAATTAATGAATTTGGAAATGTTTCAAAATTAAATATTTCTGTTACACCTGCTGCTTTTCGTACATATGCAAAAAATGACATACCAAATATTGAATAAATAAACATGACAAGAAAAAGAAGAAGACCAATATTAAATAAAGCTGGCATTGAAACAGCTAATGCAAATAGTAATGTTCGAATACCTTTTGCTCCTAGATATAAAATAAAAATAACATACTATTATAAATTATCATATTCTTTATTGTATATGAAATAAACCTTTAACAAGACGTAAAACTCGGCCAACACGTGCAACACGTACAACACGTAATAATGTTGGATTAACAAAATAATTTGCCATAATTTCACCTAAGACTTGTCCTAAAACAAAGATTTATCTACTTTTTTTTTTTTCTCTAACCATACCCAAAAAAAAAAATCGTTAAATAAATAGCAAACAGTAGCAGCTTAGCTATATCCTATAATCATTAGAAATAAGAAATTGAAAAGCAAGAGGTGCACATTAAATTAGCGTGAAAAAATGAATGCTTTAGCAAAGAATCAAACCTTTTTCCATAGATGTGACTAAATAGGGACTCTAGTTGGTATTTTCTTTTTTTTTTATTTCATAAAAATGAACATAGAAAAAAAAAAAAACAATTTTTTTTACCCAGAATCGATGCAATAACGATAATGAAATCAAATACATTCCATGGAATAGTAAAATATTTATAATGTAATGCAATTAATTTCATACCACATTCAATAGTAAATCTAAATATGAATAATATATATTTTAATTTAATATTGAATTATATCTTACATAGCAACAAAAAAATTATTAATATATCCAAGAATACGTTCATGAATTCGACTTTGATTATGATATTCAAGACACATACAAAGCATATTAAGAAAAATACACATCATTATAAATATATCAAATTTTTGATTTGTTGTTAAATCGAAAAAAAATCTTGCAATTGGAAACTATAATAGAAAATAAATCGATTAAAATAAATAAATTTTATTTTAAAATAAATACTCGTGGTCTTGGTAATGCTTTTGTTGGTTTTTTATTTCCCATTTTTTTCATAGCATTATAATATTTTTTTTGATCATCTGTCATAAACATTTCTATTGAACCACCACTTCCTAACTATAAAACAAAAATAAAATTAGCTCAAAACAAAATATCACGGAGAAATTGTATTTTATTCGATCGATTCTAAGACACATTTATACTTTTACACAATCCTTCAGAAATGTAATTAGAAAATAGTTCATATATATTAGAACGAGACATTATTATTATTCGGTCTTTGACGTTTCTATGATGAACCATTTCTAATTTGTCTATTATGATCTATGGGAGAAGGAAGAATAGTTCTGTCTTTCGATATGGTGTACTGTCTAGTTGCAGATTCAATAGCCCGATATCTTCTCTACAACCAATCCTAGTTTTTTATTCTGATCAGAGGGTTGACCCGTTGCAGAGTTCTTGCGCTCAATTGTTTAAGGGGACCCCCCGCCCCCCCCCCCCCCCCCCCCCCCTCCCCCACAACCCCCCCCGAAGACACAACCA